CCTCCCTCTACCATCTTGGGTTGATGGCTTCAATCCCCAAATTTAATGATTCCCAACAAAAGTGACCTTGGGGATGTGTTGGGAGCTGGGAGGACCCCTCATCCCCCCCCCAAACTCACCCAATCCCTCATCCCCCCCCCCCAAACCCACCCCCAAACCCTTTTGATGTTGGATTTTGAGGTTGATCCCAAAGTTGTGTTTGAAAACCACCAGGTCCAACAAAAGGAAATCGGAAGAAAAAAAACGGGGAAGTGAAGCAGGAAGTGATGAGCGTGGAGAAGGAGGAAGAGGAGCTGGAGGAGAAGGTTGGTGCTGGTGGTGGTTGAGGTCTCAGCCACGTTTGGAGCACGTTGTTCTGGAGAACATCGTGTTCTCCTTTTCTTACACCCTTTTATTTTTGTTTCTCCCTCAAGGAACAAGATGAGAAAAGGATGAAAATGGAAACCAAAGAAGGGTGAGGAGGAAGGAGAAGGTTCCTTGCTCTGGAAATGGTGCCTCTTGGTGCCCATTTCCCTCCACCACGAGGAGAACAACATGAACCTCATGTTGTGTCTCCATCCTTTTAGATTTTCTCACCTCATTTCCTTCTCTCCATCCCAGGTTGGAACTAAAAGATGAAACAACTCAGGTTAAAACTCCACCACCTGCTAAAGTAAGGTTTTTAATCTTCCATTTCAACACTTTGAGGACTTTTTAATTAAAAAATTATGATTTTAATTAAAAAAAAAAACCCCACTGAGATATCCCTCAAGGTAAAACAAAACCATTTCCAGTCCATGTGGCCTCTCAAAACTCAACCCCCCCAGTATGATGGGGAGCTGCACCATCTCAAACTGGTTTCCAAGTGAGAGCAGCAGCTGTTTTGCTTTAAAATATTAAAAATTGGGATGATTTTGGGGAGAAAAGCTTTAAAAAATGATGATGATGATGATGATGGGTTGAAGCTCACGATGGAGATGGAGAAGCCAACGATGTCTCTCCTCATTTCACAGACCACCCCCCCCAAATGCCTCGACTGCCGCCAATACCTCGATGATCCAGACCTCAAATTTTTCCAAGGGGATCCTGATGATGCTGTAAGGGATTAAAAATTCCTTTGATCCTCCAGATCTTGAGGAGAATTGGCTCGTTAACGAGGAAAGCTCGTTAAACATCTTCCTCTCTGTCCCTTCCCCTCAGCTGGAGGAGCCGGAAATGCTGACGGACGAGCGCTTGTCCATCTTCGACGCCAACGAAGATGGTTTCGAGAGCTACGAGGATCTCCCGCAGCACAAAGTCACCTCTTTTAGGTGAGACCTGGAGAAAAGGGGTTAGGAAATAAAAACCAACAACCAAAACAAACCAACTTCTGCTGGGGGGGGGGTTTCCTCCTCATTTGGGGGGTTTCCTCCTCATTTGGGGTGTTTCCTCCTCACTTGAGGGGATTTCCTCCTCATTTGGGGGGTGTTTCCCACTCATTTGTGGTGTTTCCTCCTCACTTGGGGGGATTTCCTCCTCACTTGAGGGGTTTCCTCCTCACTTGAGGGGTTTGCTCCTCACTTGGGGGGGTTTCCTCCTCATTTGGGGTGGTTTCCTCCTCATTTGTGGGTTTTCCTCCTCCCTTGGGGGTGTTTCCTCCTCACTTGGGGGGGTTTCCTCCTCACTTGAGGGGGTTTCCTCCTCACTTGGGGGTGTTTCCTCCTCACTTGAGGGGTTTCCTCCTCACTTGAGGGGTTTGCTCCTCATTGGGGGGTGTTTCCCCCTCACTTGGGTGGGTATCCTCTTCATTTGTGGGGTATCCTCTTCATTTGTGGGGTTTCCTCCTCCCTGGGGGGGGTTTCCTCCTTCCTGGGGGGGTTTCCTCCTTACTTGGGGGGGGTTTCCTCCTCACTTGGGGCTGTTTCTTCCTCATTTGAGAGGTTTCCTCCTCACTTGGGGGGGTGTTTCCTCCTCACTGGGGGGGTTTCCTCCTCACTTGAGGCGTTTCCTTCTCATTTGGGAGGTGTTTCCTCACTTGGGGGGGCAATTTCCTCTGCTGAATTTCCCAACCCAACTCCACCCTCTGTCCTTCCCCAGCGTCTACGACAAACGAGGTCACTTGTGTCCCTTTGACACGGGTTTGATCGAGAGGAACATCGAGTTGTACTTCAGCGGCGCCGTCAAACCCATCTACGACGACAACCCTTGTCTGGATGGTGAGTGGGAGGTGGAGGAACCTCCAGGGGCTCCTGGGGACAACTGGTTTGTCACCTTTAACTCTTGTTGTCTCCTGAAATTTCACCTCCATACCACCTACAACGTGGATTTGGATCCAGGTCCTACTTTGTCACCTACAAAGTGTCACTTGGAGCTTGTTTGGCTTTTTTTTGGGGGTGCTGAGGATGGAAATTGAGTGTTTTTCTCACTTTCAGGTGGGGTCAGAGCCAAAAAGTTGGGACCCATCAATGCCTGGTGGATCACGGGGTTTGATGGAGGGGAGAAGGCTTTGATTGGCTTCACCACAGGTGGGTGAGGAAGGATTGGTGGGGGGGGGGAGTTTGGGTTTGAGGAGCAACACCTAGTTTTGGGGATTTCAACTTCTGCTGAGTGGCTGGTGAAGGGAATTTATTTGGTTTGGTGGATTTTGGGGGTGTTGACCATCAAGCATCGTGGTGACCTCCAATCTGGCAGCACCCTAATTAGTGTTCAATGCAATAATGAACCTGGTGGTATCAGAGGAGGGTTTCACTCTCCTGTCCACCAGTAAATGGAGTTTGTACTGACAGGAAAGAAACCAAAACCAAACAATCTGGGATTTTTTTTACCTTCTAATTAACAGCAAAAATTAAAAGGCTGATGTGTGGATAGAGTGTCCCACCCACCTCCCATCCCCAGTTCCCCCCTCACTTTACTGGGGGGACACTGGTAGAACTTCCTTACAGGTTCAACCTGGATGAGTTTTTATAGCTCCAACTTTTATATCTCAACTTTTAAATATCTCTGAAATGGAACCTCTTTCCACTTCAGCCTTTGCTGATTACATCCTGATGGAGCCCAGCGAGGAGTACGCTCCCATCTTCGCCCTCATGCAGGAGAAGATCTACATGAGTAAAATCGTCGTGGAGTTCTTGCAGAACAACCGTGACGTCAGCTACGAGGATCTGCTCAACAAAATCGAGGTGAAATGGTGATATTCCATCTATTCATCCATCATCTGGATGATCTTTGATGGTGATACGAAGGTGGGAGGTGTGGGTGACATGGCAGAAGGTTGTGGTGACATCCAGAGAGACCTGGATGGGCTGGAGAGTTGGGCAGGGAGAAATTTAATGAACAAGGGCAAGTGTGGGGTGATGTATCTGGGAAGGAACAACCCCAGGTTCCAGTA